TCGTTTAGTCGGTTCAAGTCGTCCACTTTGTCAACCGGTAGGCACATGCTCACCGGACAATACTGGTCTTGAACATGAGCATTTAGTTTTGCTCCATATTCTTCGAATAAATGCATAACTTTCTTTCAGATGTACTTCAATGGCCGTAAGTCTTTGACCTACAACATTTATGTCGCAGTTGTTCACTTGGACTTTTCAAATTCAATAACTGAATGACCTTCTCTGGTAAGTTTGAGGAGGGACTGCTCACGGTTAGCTGAATGTTGGTCATTGCATCGAAATTCGAGCCTGAATACGCTCGAGACTATTTGCAAGTGAAGGTGTGGCACTGAACTCAAGAAACCGTTTAAAGTGAGGTTACTTCACCGGAGGTGGCAGCAACTTAAACAAAGATTGGAGACCTAGCTAAAGAAGCGGTACCCGGATATGGATCGACGATACTGGAGGAATGCGTGCTGGAAAAGGATACATGAGTGAATTTTGCAAACGACCATGTGAAAGCATACACACGGAACAGGCAGACCAAAGATGATGATAACTCTCGAGCTTGCTACACTCTCAGTCTGAAGCCACTGCAATATCATAAGGGAACCACCAATATGTCCTGAAATAGTGCTCCCAGCTAACATAAAAGATTACTTCTTCTGTCCTTCTGTACGAGGCTAGGTATACGAAATGACAAAGTGGGAAACATCATTTAGAAAGAGTGTAAAGCTGAATTGTGGCTGTTTCGTGAGCGGCAAACTGATTGACGCATCATGTTTGGTGAGACCTCTTGATTGACCGGTGTTGAAATAGACAACCATATCCCTGGATGGTCAGGAGACGTATCCTGATTTTGCGTAGTCTTGCTTAGTACCGATATATGACTAGAATGCAGTGAGGGATTGAATCCGGACACTGATCGTTTAAATAACGCAGAGCGGAAATTCGTATTTAGGAGCAGTGTGAAAAAGGACCAAGAGCAACACAATGAACGTGATTCTGATAAAAACCAACGGAGAAGGGCAGTATGAATGGCTGTTTCCATTTTGATCAACAGCACTACATCAACCAGCCACCAAAAGGCGAGTAAAAAAACAAATACGGAACTGCACAAAATGAATCCCTGCCGAGTGCGAACTTGGGTAGGACAGACAAGAATCGGCGGTATGCATGCGCGAAATTGGTTAGGTCGGGTGTGAATCGGTTTCGTTGATTGGGTGGCATATGATCGGCCCAGGATTCACATTGGCATATCCCAACACATTATTTGCATTGTGCTACGCTGATCGGATGATGGGTTTTCACCTTGACCGGTAGTAGGGTCACTGTCAGTCCCCGGGGGTTATTTGACTATTTTTACCCCGTGAACTATAGCTTTTCTAGGGACCAAAGATGGAAAATATTCTGAGGCTTTCCATTGAACTTAGAGTGGAAACGACGGTTTTTGGTTGCCCACGTACCCCATTAGTTTGTTGAATGTGAAAGCGAGTATGCCAGTCACTTTATGGTGGTCATCTTTGCTTTCGGGATATTGCACAAGCATCTAGTTGGAACCATCTATTTTTACGTCCAATTCCCTGATCAGATGGCCCTCGTAGACGGTATGAACATTGTCAGACACGCCTACCGCCTAGGTCGACGGCGAAGCATTAGTTCTTTCGAAACTTTCCAATGCGTTTCGAACTGACACATAGAATCCGTTAAGCAAATGAATCGAACCTATCCACGTCAGATAGGAAGCATAAATTGTATGAAATTTTCCACTTTCTGTTATACACAAGGAAAGTACATGATAGACGTAAGCGTTGAAGCTCTGTTGCAAAGTATGGGGGGTACACTGAGTGACGAAAGATCATAGTGACGAGGTGGGCGAAGCAAAAAACGGTGTGATGGGGGCTGGGGGTGGGTGGGAAACAGAGCAGACGCAGCGGAATAAGATAGGATAAGGGG